TTTTTTTTCCAGAATGCAAGGTTTGGCGAAATCCGATGGCCTTATTTCGCGGCGCTGAATACAATAGGGTAAAAACAGTGATGGATCTTGATCCGCTCACCTATTACGATATGAACCTTTCTGCTCAAGATCATCAAAGTTTTTTCACATGTGATGAGGATGTTGGGCGACCCGATTATGATAGTAAGTGATGCCATGATTTATTTCAGAATATTTTCTTCTTAAATTATAGTTCTTTTTACGGAACTTGCTTGTTTATAAAAACATTCTTATAGTCATGCAAGTGGCGTGGCGAGAACGAGACAGTGCATCGCGTATAAATGCAGCCAGAGAGGCGCTGCATATAAATCCAAATTGTGCTCCTGCGCTTATATTATTGGCTGAGGAACAGTGCGAAACTATCGTTGAAGCCGAAGTAATGTTGAGGTTAGTATAAGAAGTTTTTTGAAGCCTTGAGAAAAGCGATCTTCAAGTTTCATTTGATTTAGGCGCGCTTTGAAAGCTGTGGACAACAGTTTGGGGCAATCGCAGTCTGGTCAAATAGTCCCTCATGAACGCTCCGGGGACATCTATCGACAAGCAAGAAGTACGTTTTTGTGTGGTACTAATCTTTTCCGTAGAGTATCATATTACATGACTCAATACAAAATTTTCGTAGAATCATGTAATATTGTATTCAGGACGCGATTTCCACATGCAAATCTACATACGACGTCGTTTGGCGATGTGTGCACGGAAGCAAGGCAGATTGCGTGAAGCTATCAAAACATTCAAAGATGTAAGTTGTGACTCACAAAGTGAAGCTGGGAGATTTGTAGCTTTTTAACTCAAAAACCTCTTTTTGTGAAGTGACCTTTCATAGGCTTTCATTGATTTGCGTTTTGTTTCTTTTTCTTCTTTTTTATTCTGCCGCATGTTGCGATTTTATAGTACTTTTTCAGAGCTTTAGTTTTTTGTCATACGCGGCCACTATGTTATCCAAGTTTTAATGAAAGTTTTGTAATGAAAGCTGTCTATCTAGATCATTCGCGATGGATCCATGAGCAACATATTGGGTGTACAGGAGAACCTCATCGAAGCCTGTTTGGAAATGCAAGCGTACGCTGATGTGCAGGCTTTGCTTGTTCGATACGATGGCTTTGGTGAGTTTTTTCTTCCACATCTACATTCGCACTTTCGCTTCAAGAATAAAAGCGTGTTCTCTTCTCTTTCTCTTTTCCACTTGTTTGAAGGGGCGATTTTTGCCTTATCGATAGTCCTGGCTGCCAAAGGTCATCGCTCACTGCTAAGCAAACGCGAATGCTGTTCGTGAGCAGTCACCATCTTTTTGATGCTGTGCATCATGCGGCCTACAAGATGAGGTCGCTTTCGCATCCGCTCCGTTTCTATAGGTCGCCCTTCTTTCACAGTAAAAGTTATTTGATAGAGTGAAGGAATTGAGATAGCTGCTATTAGATTTTCAACATTTTTCTTCCTTTGGTTTGTCATTTTCTGGATAATTCAACTGTGATATTTATAACTTTCTGCAGCTCTTGTAATCTTATTTATCAGATCGCTTCTTGCAGATCTGAGAGAACCAAGGTCGGCTGTACTCAGTTATACCTCTGCTCTTTTGAAAGCCAGGGCTGTGGCAGACAAGTATGGTTTTTAATAGTGACAAACTTCGTATAGTGCGTTAGCCATGAGCGAGCGTTTAGGTTTGTTGCGGACATCTCAACAAGAAGAGGATTGTCTTCAGCAGAAGCGACTGCCATCGAAGCAATCACTCGAGCCATAGAGTTCAATCCGCATGTTCCTCTTTATCTGCTCGGTTTGTTCTTACAGTTTGCTTCTATATTTACTAATCATTTACGCTTTACGAGCACTTGGAATGTTACAGGTTTCTAACAAGGGAGAGACCCTCGGTCCCCACATGATGCATATCATTGTGCTGGTTTTGGGGTACTAATACCAAATCCGTGTTCTTTAGCTGCTCAATGTTCTTTTTTGAGAAGTACAGCGATGGTTTCTCCAGGATGACCACGGATTGCGGCGCCGAGAAATGTCGGTTGGGGAGGCATGGCCGATAGCTGCGGAGGCTAGGCGGAAGTGGTGAAGAGTTCGGAATACTTATGTCCCAAATATTCTTGCATTTGCAGATTGTTTGATATGTATCCTTAGGTCCTTGAGGCAGGAGAACACCGGGCACCCGTTGATATTGCAAAATGCAAGAATGTTTGAAACATAAGTATTCCGAGCTTTTTACCATTTCCCTCTCCGCAGTAATCCACACGGCCACCCCTCCACAAGGCATTTCTCGCCGCTAACTTAAGCGATCCGTATCTTCCTAGGGATACCATCGCCCGTAACTTTTTCCGGAAGATTATTGAGCAGCTAAGGAACACGATTTGGTATTAGTGCCTAAGATCAGCACAATAATATGCATCACATGTGGAAACCCCAGTTCGACCGAGGGTCCTTCCCTTGTAAGTACAGTACAGTAAAAGTAGTACAAGTTACAGAGATGCGTCCAATGATTCTCCCACCTGAGCATTATCTGAAACGTGGTGACTCAGAGGCCATTGCTTATGCATTCTTTCACATTCAACATTGGAAGCGGATTGATGGTGCACTGCAACTTTTGCAATATACCTGGAAAGGAGGTTGGTTACGTTTTCCCATTCCAACCATCAGTCGCAGTGGAAAATTCGTTGCATCCTAGTTATCGATTTTTACGGTGTCTGGATGAATTAGTCTTTTCACTGTTGCTGTTCGCGATTATAGTCATGCATGGCATGAACGCCACTGGTTTTCGATTATTTGCTTCAAAAGGAACGTAAAACATAAAATTCTTCTTGTATTTACTATATGACTCTGAAATTTATATAATTTCGTATTTAGTGTATATGAGATCAGTTATCTAACAAAATCTGATACCCTAAAATCTTACAGATAAGTCCGCTTTTTTGACCAG